CAGAGTCCCATGATGTGACTTTCCAAGAACCCAGGATCCAAGATGTAAGGGAAGAGGACTGCACTCTAGAACTGACAGCAGTTCAACTGCAGGGGTGCATTAGATTCAAAGATAGACTTGCACATGAATCAGGTCTGAGAAAGTGATTTCGGACAAGTGACAATGCTCCTCAAACTGTTTCTCCATCTGTAAAATAGAGATAGTGTATCTTCTATGTAGTATTACTAGTAAGACCTACTGAGACAAAGCAGATGGTGTAACCACGGAGCACACTGGTTGAGCCTCAAGTAGATGACGACCTAAGAATTTGGGAGAGAGCCCTGAACCCTTCTTTGGAACCTAGACCCTGAGGGAAGGATGAAAATCGCTCTTCTAAAATTTTCGGTTGAATATTTCCCCCCGTTTCTTTTAATGGAGTTATCCAGAAAGAGAGTTTCTTTTGGCAACCAAGTTGAAGAAATAAAGGTTAGTTTTACTTACTGCAGGATATGCTAAAGGATAGTGTCTACCATCTTCTAGAGCTGACCGTGGAATTCTTTCATCAGAGTATATCCTAGAATTGGGTTCTCCAGAACATTTGAGGAAGATATTTCAATTCTTATGTAGTCTTCCATGAAATTCCTGACATTCTCTCCCCGCCCCCCACCTCCATTCCCTTCAGGAATAGCAAACCTCGAAATCGTCCATCGTTCCGACAAATCCTGCTTCATCTGGACATCGCTTCAGCTGATGTGCTCTCTACACCCCAAGAGACTTACTTTAAGTCCCAGGTGAACTGTGGGTAGGAAAATGAATCTCTTTGTAGAGATAATGCCCTTTGTGGGGAAAGCAGGAAGGGCTGATTGGGACTGGACTAGGTTAGCTCTTGGAACGCTGAGACCCCCATGTGCCCCAATCCATAGCAGTACAGACACCTAGCAGAGGAATGGCCTTCACCCCTAGTTCTCTCCACCCCCAGGCAGAGTGGCGGGAAGAGGTTAAGCTGCACTTTGAAAAGATTAAGTCGGAAGGGACCTGTTTACATCGCCTAGAAGAGGAACTGGTGATGCGCAGGAGGGAGGAGCTCAGGTATGTTTTGGGCAAGATTTTGAACTGGTTCATTATCACTGGGGGATCTTGCTAAAAAGTAGATTCTGATTCATTGTATTCAGGGTGTAAAGGCAATTCTCAGCAGAGGGTCAAACTGGAATGAAATGGCTTATACCCCGTTTGGGAAAGTGATTTTATTGGCAACAGGGACTCTGGACACCACCAGTTTATTAATTAAATCATGGCACCTTGGATCCTTCTCCATCTACTTCACAGACATGCCTTGGACATCAGGGAGCACTATGAACGCAAATTGGAAAGGGCCAACAACTTGTACATGGAACTTAATGCCCTGATGTTGCAGCTGGAGCTCAAGGAACGTGAGCTGCTCAGGTAACCCTACCTGTCCCTGTGTGCCTAATCTCCAAGTCTTCATGGGGCAATGCCCGAGATCCGACTGAATCCAGATCCCCCTTCCTGGATATGGCCAACTGAGAAAGTGACTGGGTCTTTAGGCGGGAGCAAGCTTTAGAGCGGAGGTGCCCAGGACTGCTGAAGTCACACCCTTCCCGGGGCCTACTACATGGAAACACAGTGGAGAAGCTCATCAAGAAGAGGAATGTGCCACAGAAGCTGTCACCCCATAGCAAAAGGTGAGGTTTGCAATGACAAGGTTACTGGAAAGATAAGCGTTGGGGCTAAGGAGGCTGAGGGTTCTGAGAAAGGAAAATCTGCACTGACCAATCCAAGGAGTGGGTCCTTTGAGTGGACAGATTCATTTCTCTCAACCTTGTGTTCTTTCCCCATCAGGCCAGATATCCTCAAGACAGAATCTTTACTACCTAAACTAGATGCAGCCCTGAGTGGAGTGGGACTTCCTGGCTGTCCTAAAGGCCCTCCTTCACCAGGAAGGAGTCGGCGTGGCAAGACTCGTCACCGCAAGGCCAGCGCCAAAGGCAGCTGTGGGGACCTGCCTGGGCTTCGGGCAGCTGTGCCAGCCCCTGAACCTGGACCAGGAAGCCCAGGGGGACTGGGAGGGCCTTCAGGCTGGGAGGCCTGCCCCCCTGCCCTCCGTGGGCTTCATCATGACCTTCTGCTACGCAAGATGTCTTCATCTTCCCCTGATCTGCTGTCAGCAGCATTGGGGACCCGGGGCCAGGGTGCTACCGGGGGAGCTGGAGATCCTAGCTCACCTCCTCCAGCCCGGGGTGACACCCCCCCAAGTGAGGGCTCGGCCCCCGGCTCTACAAGCCCGGATTCCCCTGGAGGAGCCAAAGGGGAGCCACCTCCACCAGTAGGGCCTGGTGAAGGTGTGGGGCTGCTGGGAACTGGAAGGGAAGGGACAGCGGGACGGGGAGGAAGTCGGGCTGGGGCCCAGCACTTGACCCCGGCTGCACTACTGTACAGGGCTGCTGTCACCCGAAGTCAGGTAAAGTATGGAAGAGTTCCTGAGCCCTTTCCTTCCTTCCTTGTCTTTCCCATAGTCTATATCCATAACTCATTTCCCATCCTTTTCACTATGTTCCCTTCAGGGTTCTTAATTTACTCTCCCACTTTTGACCATTCTCCTTATCTCTCTGGTAGAAACGAGGCATTTCATCAGAAGAGGAGGAAGGAGAGGTGGACAGTGAAGTAGAGCTGACATCAAGCCAGAGGTGAGAGATGGCAGACAGGAGGTAATAGCATGCTTTTGCTTTCTGGGTAACAAGGGACAGAGTTCAGCCGTAGCCTGTCTTTCCAATACACAGGTGGCCTCAGGGCCTGAACATGCGCCAGTCATTATCTACCTTCAGCTCAGAGAACCCATCAGATGGGGAGGAGGGCACAGCTAGTGAGCCTTCCCCCAGTGGCACACCTGAAGTTGGCAGTACCAACACTGATGAACGGCCAGATGAGCGGTCTGATGACATGTGCTCACAGGGCTCAGAAATCCCACTGGACCCACCTGCTTCAGGGGCAGTCCCTGGCCCTGAACGTAGCTCCTTGCCCATCCGACAGCAGGACATACTCAGAGGGGAGCAGGTGAGTCACAGCATAACTGGAAAGTGACCAGGTTTTGGACAAAAGAGCTGGTCATTTCAGAGTTTTGGGGGAGAAAGCGTGGTGGGAGGGATTCCGAGTGTAATACATGAGGCCAGGAAAATAGCTATTTAACCTCTATAATTTTAATAAGCTGGTCAGAATTGAACCCATTTCCTCTCATGCCAAAGAGCTAATATCCACCTGGTAGAATTTAAGGTGCCTCACCTCTAGTAGAGAGCAGCTAGTATGGTATCTTGCATGCAAAATAAATGGTAGCCATTATTTACAGCCAGGGAGAAATGCTTAAACTAGAGGAGTCTGGTGCCTTGGGAAATGGCCTGAGCAAATGAAACTCAAAAGCAATAGTATCAATAAGCTGGCTCACTACTAAAACCCCAATGAGGGATCCTAAAGGAATCCATTTGTAAGCCAAGGGATGCTGAGCTCCACCTCATCACTTTTCAACTCTTCCTTACAGGGCCCTCCCAATTCTGAGGATTCAGACTGTGACAGCACCGAACTGGACAACTCCAACAGTGGCGATGCCTTGCGGCCCCCAGCCTCCCTTCCTCCGTGAAAGCCACACTTACTTCCTGTACATAGAGAAATATTTATATAAATTAATATATATGCGCCACATAATCAGCAAAGATGGGGCTATCCCAGCCTTAAGTCAGGCTCAACGGAGACTGACACCCCCTCCTTGACCAATTCACCTGGTACACTCTAGGGATGCTGGCAGCTGTGAGAATGTCAACTGCTGCCCTAGAGCTGTGGGTAAGGGGAAGCTGGCCCCATTCCTGCTCCAACCCATTCCTTATGTTCAAATAAGTGGTCAGGCAATAGAAAAGCCAGGCTTGTCTCCTATGCTCCACTATACCTTTCATTCCAGATCCTGGGGAGCAGGAGAGGGAACCACTTAGACTGCACTTTTTTGTTTTCCGTTTACTCTGTTTACACATTTTGCACTTGGGAGGAGGGAGGCTAAGGCTGGGTCCTCCCCTCTGAGGTTCCTCAGGTGGCAATGTAACTCATTTCTTTGTCTTTCCATTTCTCTGCCCAAACCCTGGCTTACAGCCCAGGGGAAAGGTCATGAGATTGTGATAAGCATGTGATGGCTCAGGCTGAAGGACTTGGGTACTGTTTAAGCCCTTATTCTATCCTGGTGCCTGATTTGGGTGGGGACTGTCATATTGTAACCCCTGTGAAAAACCTTTAAATATAACCACTCCATGCAGGCCCAGCTGTTGAGGGTTTTCTTGGTGAATTAACTGGGTAGCATACATGGTTAAGTAGGAGCTTTGGGCTCCTGACCTTATTTGAGAACTTTTTCCAAGTCACTTCCTCTTTCATGCCTCTTTTCTCACACTAAATAAATCATTTCAAGCCTCGATATTAAATTTATCTGCAAAAATTATAGGAAATACATCTTTCTAAATTATTTTAGAAGGGCAGTAGATCTTGAACACCAGCCTTGTTACAAAAACAACTGTAAATGAATAGTTATTAAGAACACAGAGAATAAGACAAGTTTTTAGTTTAAAATTTGCAGGCTTGGACAATATGAATCCTAGCCAGACATGTTTTATGGCTTCCATGTGCATGCATATGCATCATCCACAGACCTGCCCAGTGGATCAGCAGTGCTTGTCTACTACTCACAAGTCCTAGGAAAGACTAAGCCCCAATCCTTTGGGCCCAAGTTTTACATGGTTCAACCAAGGGCACAACTAGCTTGCTGAAACTATTACATCACCTTGCAATGCAGAGGTTCAGGGCAATTAAGATTAAGGGCCACAAAAAAAGATGGCATGGTAAAACAGAAGAAAACATCTTAACTGGAATAAAGGCTTCTATTCAAAATCCAAGTAGGCCCTTGTCCTTTGAGAAATAAAGGTATAAAAAAGTAACAGCAAAACAAGAGGAATAAAACCCACATGAATCACTGTGGCATCCAGTTTCTATTCACAAAGGAAAAGCTCCAGTCCATCTTTTAATTTTTTTTTTGAAAAATTCCTGACATTACAGAACTAAACTGAAATGTATTAATATTCCACTCTTACATATCCATGACAAACAGAAAAAAAAATAATTCATGAGCCAAAAAAAAAAAAAAACAGGGAGAAGCTTATAAAACTAAATATGGATCTCAGCATTAACAGCTGAACAGAGAAAGGAATTAAAACGCTTTAATTAAAAAATCACGAGTGGATGATAAAGTGTAGAAACTGAAAATTTACAAACTATTTAAAACCTGGAATCGCTGACTGTTCAGAAACTACACAGATGGATCATGGGTGGTGGTGAACAGCAGAAAGGGATTATGGATGAATCTGCATTGTTCTAGCTGCTCCCCATGCCACCCGTCTCCGAGGAAAGCCTGTAACACAGAAACAAACAAGAACTCAAAATTAGTTTTTCCAATACCTCACACCTCCCAAACTTTTCAGCCTGGTTTGTGAAATGTGAAGGAAAGTGAACAGATGACTAGTGTTCCAGTATCAAGGAAGGGATTTTAAGATTTCTTGGATTAATCAGTACTACAATCTTTTAACCCCTACAATACAAGCTTCTTGAGGCAAATTACCTCAGAACTGAGGGAAACAGAGCATTTTGGTTACCAAGTATTGATGTGCTTTCTAAATGTTCTTTGGAACCTTTGTTCCAATGTGAAACACAACACTCTCTAAAACCTCCTTCCAGGGTGGTCACAATGCACAAAAGCAGTGTTTATTGCTGAGCTTATCTTAGCTCCTCCTAAACTAAACTGCTGACAAAACACTAGTTTAGGAAACATTTATCTAAAAGCCCAAAGAAATCCCTATCCTAGAATAGTATAGCCCTGAGGTTTCTCTACCAATGTGAAAGCTATCACATAAAGAGGCAATGCAGTGTAAGAGATGTGAAAGAAGGATCAGCAAATATACTACCTCTGGATCAAAAAAATTACTTTTAGGTCTAATTATCATGATTTAATTGTGGCAGACAAAATTATCTGAGTTTCAACATCTGCCTGGCCCATTCTAGAATATCCTAAGTCTGTGTTTTTTTAAACCAAATTCTCTATCCAAACATGTCTGGCTATACCATTCTGTTGAAAATAGGTCTTCTGAACATCTAAGAACCCATAATCCAATTTAGGGTATTGAAGGGGAAGGTATTTAGGTGTTCAGCAGGCTTCACTGACATTAACTCCCATTTCAAACAGAACTAAACAGTTAAGTGTTTGCTCATAATGTACAATAAAGATTTTAAATTGACTAGAACAACCTACTTGTGGGATCTGGTTACAAGAGCATGTTGGATAATTCTCCATCTATAACCCTACTTCAACAATGCAAAGCCAAAAGCTGGCTAAAAGAGGGATAAGCCAAGGCCCAGAAAATATAAGGGTCCTTCAACTACAAACTATATTTACTATTTAAGCCAGAGAAGGTTTTTCTCCATTTTAGCATGAAGGGGAATATATTTAGTCCTTCGAGGAGGTAGATTCTTCCCAACTTCAAAACGGGACTGACCTAGAGAGACGGTAAGTAAAAGACCCTGAATAGGCAAATGTAAAGGTCCAAGAAAAGACCTGCTGGATATAGCTTAAATTTAGGAACTAAAAATTTAAGTTCACACAAGAATAAAGTAACATTCTAGCCCCAAAGACCCTAAAGAATTGAGGAATAAATGTCCATAATTTATACAAAGCCCGAGCAAGAATTTGCTGGGAAGAGGCAGTGAAAAGAGAAATCTCAACTAGAAAACCATTAAGAACTCTAGGATAGAAGGACCACACGAGGGAGCTCTAAGCTTTTAAAAATTTAATACCAAATACCTTTGTTAGTGGTGATGATAGCCTACCCCTTAAACATCTGGATTCCTTCCCAGCAAGCATTCTTTAGGGAATATTCATTAGGTAAAGAGGACTTCCAATCAAGAACTAGATAAAATAAAAACCAAGTCCCTGAGAGAGATGGTATCAGCAAGACTAAATCCTAACTATCGAGAGCTTACCAAGGGAAAGCTAGCCAACCCGATAAGGGAGAAAGTAACAAACATAAATAAATAAATCCTACCTCAGTATTTAAATGGCAATCTGCCTCTCTAATCCTTCATGCAGACTTGGGATGTGTAATATTAATTCACAGGCCCAACCGAGGGACCACAGCAACACAATAACATTGGAGAGTTAGATAATATATTGGATTATTCACGAGAATTCTTTTAATACAGTAAGCCAAAGGTGATGTGGGAAGAAAGGTCATCAGGGAACAATCTCTGCATCAAGTTTTCTAATGCCCTGGGAAGGGCATCACACTCTCATCACCCTGGGAGTATGTACTCTGGTTGAATGGGTATCGGAGGCCTTCTACCATTATACTTAGAATGTTTTACTTTTTTATGGAAAGACAACTGTGCCAGTGTTTGGATAAAAAAAATAATAAAAGTATTGGAGAAAAGTACAAATGAGCAAAAGATATAGTAACTTGGCTAATTACTTATTGTGATCTAGGAATTTAAATTCTTTAAGGGGTCTCTTTTTTAAAATATGTAAAATGATGGGACCAATGAGTTATAGATCAGTTCATCCCTATGGTCCCTTGGAAATCTAAGTATGTAATTCTCTACTCCTGAAAATGCTGGTGGGCCAAAATGAAAGGCAAAGGAACTAGGATGAATAATCAGAATTGGTTTCTGATGACTGGGCAGAATCCAATCACATGTTGGTAACACTATAGGTCAAGTGTTCAAGATTTATCTAATGTCACAGAAGTGGGGTACTGTATTTTCACACAAATAATACACAGTATACCTCATCCCCAGGGCAAACTGCATAACCCCATAGATATTAGTTTACCATGCACAATGTGCATGTCGTATGCATACATACATTATATGCAAAAGACCCAGTATTTACTATTTCAGCAGGTTGCAGACAGAAGCTGTCAGCTTTTCCCACCTTATGCCTCCCCCAAAACCTGGTGAAAAGATAATTTCTTTTTATGTATGTCCTGAAAAGATTGGCACAGTTACCACTCATCAGAGGAAGGAGAAGCCTGGAACGGACACCCTTGCTGTTGGCAAGTTTATCTGAGAATTCAGATAAACTATTCTCCACTAAACTAGCTTATCAACTGTGACAAGTTTAGATCTCATGACCTAAACTGCCACAGGCCCATATCCCTTTGGGGGGAATAGTGACAAAGGACTACAAAACTACCCTGAGATTTAAAAAAAAAAAAAAAAGGCCACGTCAGTTTTATAGGAGTCCTAGTTGAGGAGTCATAGGTCATACACCCATTCCCACCCCCTTACCCTTTTTTTTCCACAGCACACGGTGAACTAGGTTCTTATGTGGCAACTTTATTATAGCTAGAAACATCAATCCGGCCAAGAAGGCCTGCTAATAACTTAACCATTCAATATTAAAAAAAAAAAAAAAAAAAAAAGGAAAGAAAAAAAAAAAAGGTAGGTGGGTGGGTGGGTGAACGGATAAGCTTTTATTCATCAACACAGAGCCTAACACATTGTCATATTGCAAGGCAGAATAAAGCTACAAAAAAAGATTAACAGAATAAGAAAGAGCAAGAACTGTGGTTCTAGATAAAGAATTCAACAAGTCAGACTCTGACTAACAGGCACTCAGCTCAAGTGTCCTAAACCTAAACAAGGGTCACCACACTCCTCCCACTCTATCCCACCCCCTTTATCCCGCGCCAAAGTAGTAAAAAGGAAATGGTCACAAGCTCACAATTGTTTGGTTCTCACCAATATTAACAAAGGAAAACAAAATGAATCAAGAAATACTTGAAGGGATGTCTCAAAATATGCAATCAGTAGGGGGAGAATCTCTGTTTCTCGCCTTTCAGTTTGTTAGTTACACATGGCACCGCAGAGGTGGTGGTGGTAGTAGCTGAAGCCCCGGTACCCTTAGCAGCAGACACAACATTTAGAGCCAGGAGAGGGATGGGTTTCATGCCAAGCAGACTGGAGACACAAGGGGCGGTCGGAAGAGGGTTGGGGAGGCTGGAGGGTGCGTCGGAGGTCCCCGCTGTGGCGAGTGAGGGGGTGGTGGTGGAGGAGGAAGAAGAAGAAGGGGTGGAGGGTTGAGAGAGGTTGATGCTGAGGTGATCAGGGATCGTGACGGAGGCTGCCTGGGAGGAGGGTTTAGCGTTTTCTAAACTGTAACAGAGGAAAAAGGAACAAAAAAAAAGGGTGGGTGGAAGGGAAGACCACAAAAGGGAAAAAAAGTACAGGACAAAAACCGCTTCAGTTATCAGTAAGTGCCTCAGGTTGCCAATTAGGAAGACCTAATATCAACTTGTGACAATGTCTTAGGCTATGCCCCACCCTCTAAAAATGTATACTTTGCCACATTCCATTCCAGAATGCTATTTATATCTGCTACTTAGTGAGGAAAAAGCTGACACACTGAGTAAAGAAGAAAATCACAGAACATACATTTCCACATTATCTGACACACTGACCCAGCCCAAAACTCGGAAAGGAATGATTTCAGGTAGAAAATGAAACAGTATTCATCTGAAAACAAGGAAGAAATGTCTCATCCATCAATCAAATGTCAGTTACCCATTCTAATAGAAAATCAATTATCCAGCAATTACATGTGTAGCTTTGGAAAACATTTTTTCTCTAGTTAAAACTGCCTCCATGTCCACAAGAAGCTAAGCAATTAAATTGAAATGGAAAGGGGCAAAAGAGTACAAGGTACATCACTCAGCATTTTCAGAGAAAATTGCTGAGAACAGCAGTATAGACAAGGAGTAGAGAAGATTCATTTCTGGTGGGTGGTGGTAAGAGTAAAAGGCTCTTTGTTCTTGACTGACTATATTTCTAATGTGGACCTTACAGAACTAGAATAGTACTGTCAAAAAATACATGTTTAAAAAACAAAAATAATGCAGCTTCTTCTAACTCCTAAAATAAGCTCCAAATAAGTAATGTCCTATAGTTGCCAAGTGCCTACATGTGTCTAAGCCAGGACTGAAGATATCTATTCAAGTCTAGCATCTGGACAATCTACTGTTCAAGGGCAGAGAGGCTCCACTTTGTTTACCTTAAAGTTCCAGGGACAGCTATAATCCATAAAGGAAGGAGTAGAGAAATCAACTACAGAAAAGACCCAAGCTGCTACCAAGAAAAATCAGAAATTCGAATTCAGCTCTGCTCAGAATTCATTACTAAAAGCAGAGAAATCCTTCTTGCCTAGTAGTAATAAAACTAGTTTGGTATGTGCATTCAATGAAGCTTTAAAACATTTTGACCCAAATCCAGTTACATTAAATAGGATGATCCTGAAGAGTGACTCTAGGTCAGGAAACTGAGGTGGGGAGTTCTGTTTCTCTATAATGTAGCCACTGACCTAGACCAGGGACCAGGCAAGTAAAGTCACATTTTAACTTTAATAGAAAGGGCAAGCCTACCCAAGTACAGGAAAACAATTTGCTGCTTCTAAGAACTTGATTTCTTGGCATCTAACACTCCCTCACACTCCAACTGGAAACAAAAAACCCTTTGAAAACAGTATTTGTGCAAAGCTTACCATATTTTTATACAAATAACACACATATTATACAATTTCCATTTGCACCTTAGTTTCCTATGCCCATTAGTTGCAGAAAATACAGTACTACCATTTCACTCTTAACATTAAAGACTGAGTTCTCTGGTAGATGAGTAAGAAAGTAGATCTAAACATAAATTAAGTCTTTTCTACATAAACACCAGGGTGTCCAAAGCATGAAAGACTAAGGCAAAGGTCAGAATCATCACAGGGATTAAGTTTAGTTTCTAGGAATAAAAAGACCATGAAATAAATATATGGTCATTATAATTATGATAATATAGGTTTCATACTTACAAATTTCCTTCCTCACACTAGACTCAGCAGAAACCAAATACTTAAGATAGAAGTAAATTACAACTAGGCAACACTTCCTATGATAGGGATAGTTAAGCTCCTTGGGCAATAGGCTACTAACAGTGGTTTTAAGATATTAGTAAGCCATTAAGTTAAAAGCAAGAAACAAACACCCTATAGGATGTCCACCAGACTATGACCAGTTCCACTACTATCTCAAATGCAATGTTAGTTGGTTGAGGGGAACAAAACCTCAAAATCATTAACAGATGATAAAGGGGAAAATACCAACGGCATTTCAGGAACATTAATATCCTGCCTCCCCTTTTCCCCAATCTCTGAACAATGGAGCAAATTTGCAATTTGAGGAAATGGTTATTTTAGGATAAATAATAATAACCAGTTCCGAGGAACTGCATTACTTCATTAACCTTATTTCAAGTTTGGATTCTTTGGACTCAAAATCAAACCAGTGAAAAAAATATTGGGTCTATGTGGCATGTACAGTAAGAAAAGATCATAACTGGTTCTTTCATTCAGTATGGGTGCTCTAGCCACTATCCTAATAGTGAAGATATGCTACTTCCTTTCCACTCTAATTCTATCAAAGGTCAAATGTAAGCAATCCATGTTCCCCTATGGAAACTTTTTGCAATCTGGTTGCTCTTTCGGCTACACTGAGGATGGAAGAAAGTGGGAACAGACAAGAGGGCTAGAAATGTAAAAAAACAAAAACCCCAGGACTGTTGCAAGCTTCACCTGACCACCCCACCACCACCACCAAGTCCCAAGTAATCCTACATTTAATAATACACTATTTTTTCCCGCAATGCACACAAAATGTTATTATTGATAAAAGAAAAGGTAGAGTACCCTTACCTGACATTGATTAGATACTGAGCCAGGCTAATGCTGGCAGCAGATCCAGTGATGGTAACCTGCCTATCAGTAGATCCTTCCACTGGGTTCGCAATTTTGATCTGCGCCCCAGACATCTGACGGATCTCATTGATTTTGGCGCCTTGACGCCCGATTATGCAGCCAATCAACTTAGGGAAGAAAAACAAGGCACACCAAGTTAGGAAGAGTTATGTGGCTAGGCCCAACCATTTCTATCCCATTCCTCCAGATTCTATAACTTGGGTCCAAGAACAAGATAACAGAAACAACTACCTGTATCCTACACTTCTCTACCCATACACTTCTGATTAAAAAGCTTTAGCTATAGAACCCATCTCTTAATTCCTACTCTATTTCTGTTTGACCACTAGAGGTCAGAACTCTGAGCTAACTGACTGCTAGGTCCAAGCATTTGTTAGTTGCTAGTCAAGCCAATTCTGATTCATGGTGACCCATGTATGTCAGAGTTGAATTGTTTCACAGGAGTTTCAAGGCTTGTGACCTTTCAGAAGCAGATAGCTAGGCCTGTCTTTGGAGTATGTGTTCAAACCATCAACCTTTTGGTTAGTCGAGTACAAGCATTTAACCAGTTGTGCCACCCATGGACTCGGTCCAACCATTAACTCATTATTTCCAGAAAACAAGACTTCTGCTCAGAGCACTAATCCCCAATGACAGAATAAAGTAGAGCCAAGATTATAACAAACCTAGTTAGATGACTAGGAATAAAGATAAAGATATCTTTGGCAAAAAGATCCTTAAACTAACTGTGCCACGATTACTACCTTCCTATACAGACAGAATTCTGGCTACTTAATTTCTACAACATCTGCCTTGTCATAAAGTAAAAAAAATAGCCCTTACTCGCGCTGTCTCGTACTGCAGACACAACACATTGAGCACTAGAAATGTGACTTGTAATAATTTAATATTCTTAATTTAAATAGACACATGCTACCATGCTGGACAATACAGGTCTAACATTCAAGAACCATTGTTCCCAAGCTTTAAGGACAGTGCTTTGATTCCACACAGAAAGGATTGTCTGGCATGAATCTTTATAAAAGGGAAATAATAAGACTTTCTATTTGAGACCAATGTTTCTTTCTGTCTCATACCTCACAGTTTTATCAACTTTCTCTACCAGCTCACACTGAGAATTCTACATATAACATGTACATATATCCAGATATAAAATGTAATTTATTATCTAAAAATTTCCTTTTTATGTCAGGCTTAAGAATTCCAGGACACTGCCAGAAAGATTTCTATTCTTTAAAGCCAATTTTCTGACTTGCACTGCATGCAACCCAGCTATACTTACATCATTTGGAATGGTGAGTTCATGAGAAGTAGTCTGAGCAGATGCATCCAAACCTGCTAAAAGACAGAAGAGAGCAAGAAAGTTCAATATACAGCATACAAAATCTCACTGATTTGCACATTAACCTAACAGAAGAAAACAAACTGGAAACCCAGCATTGGCTGTTGGGATTCATCACTAACTTGGAAGCCTCCAAGGAGGAAAGAGGGGGAAAGGGACGTAGAAATAATGCTCGAAAAGTTCTTCGTACACTCCCTCCAAGAGCTGATTTCATGCCATTTCCTGCAAAGCCCAGCCTATTGGGGTGGAGGGGTGGAAGCAAGGGGCAAGGGATTATGGTATCCTCCAAGAGAACTAATATCTAAACACCAAATCATTCTGTACTTCTACCCCTTCTCTGCCGAGAATTTCCTGCTGTTGCGTTCCAATTTTATCTCACCTGATGCTCATGAGCACCAGTGCCAGTTTCATGCCTGCTACTGGGTACCATGGACTTTTGGCACGCATGCAGAGTTGCTTTAAATATACCTGTATCAGATTCACACACCCCCCATCCCTATCCTTCTAACCTAGACTTGAAGGTCAGATAGAATTAAATGGCAGTCAGGTGAGGGAAGTTATTTCTCCAAACTTATTCCCTATCTTTTGCTCAATAATTACTTCTGGTTTTTATTTTTGTTTTCCAAAGAAAAAGAAAAAAAAAATCCTATCAGCAAACATCCATACCCATCTACAATAGATGACACCTGGACTGAACCAGGCCAGCTGGCTAACCCTCAAGCCTAGTCCTGCTTTCAGCTGTGGCTACTGGTCTAACGTTTTTAGAAGGGGGTTGGCCAGATCCATCAAGGGACCCTTGGGGGCACCAGGCCCACCCCTTTGCTCTCTCAGCTCCTCTCTGCCATGTGCATGTTGCTGATATGGTTCATGGGCAGTGAAACAAGACTCCCACCAGTTTATTAATATAACAGTAGAATACTACAGATTTTTTTTTTTTTATCATTACCCCAATAGCCTTTCACCTCTGGAGAGCTGGATTCAATGCCTGTTAAGATACAAGTGAAAATGAGTTTGGTGGTCTCATCCTAACCCTATCGGACAAGTTATTCCTTATACAGAAAAAATAAATAAATAAAATAAAACCCAAAAACAAAAAACAAAACAAAACAAACAAACCAACAAACAAACCGAAAAAAAAAAAAAAAAAAAAAACCACTACACAATTTGGTACAAATGGATTGTCTCTACCCAGGTCTGTGAATAGCTGGTGGAGAGAAATGGGATGCCAATCAGATCCAGGGGGCAGCAGTCAGGATGGTTAGAAGAAATACCAGCCTACCCTTTGCCTGACAAGCATCCCCAGACCTCACCCCCAAACCTTCCAGGGCCTTTTTAATTTCTGTTTAGAGTAACTCACCCCAAATGAAAACAGTTAACAAACACATTACCTCCTTGGGTTTAGCCATAGTAGACAGGCAAGTTTAAACCAGCAGGATGCTGGATAATGAAGTTTGTTTTAAAGAGATGTCAAGCTGAGACCTTGGGGCTGGCCTCTGTCTTGCACTACACCTTACAGAAATAAACACTGAGGTATCCATACCACTGAATCCGGTGTTGCCATGCGTCATAGGAAAATGAGACTGTTGCATTGCCAATTGGTGCAGCTTGGTCAACTGCAAGGAGGAAACAGAAGAGGTGGGCATTAGGAGAGTTAACAGAGCTAGGGCTCAAGCATTCAAATTTGAAAAAGCTCTTGATCCCCAAAGTTGACTCTACTACTCAAACTACAATGGAGGGTAGGAATGGGGCTTAAATCACAGTCCTGAGGATGGGCAGAATATGAAGGATAAGGGTTAAAAATAGAAAGTGTGTCAGTACAAAAGAATAAATGCATTTTGGGTGTGTGAAAAGAAAAGCAGCAGCACCCGCCCAACAACCATCCCCTTGTGGGCTACTTAATGAAGGTGTTTGCAGCCATTGCAACAGTTGCCCCAGGGACAAGCACAGACAGGCTAGGTAAACAAACTGTGCAGTGGTGCTAGGGAAAACACACCATGCAGGGTTCCATCAGTATTGGGATAAGGGAAGGAGATGAGGGGTCAGGGAGACTGCAAGGAGGAGAGAGATTAAGAAACCAAACTAGGCTTAACAACCAATCCCCCAACCACTACTGAATTTCTGTTTTTCTTCCTTTACATAAACTGCCCTGTCATAAAACAATCCCTTTTCAGGTCTTATTCCTTGTCCAGGGGCCTACCACTAACCAAAAGCCAAACTCAACTTCCCAAGTCAGCACTTGAAAGGATTAGTAAAGATAAAATGCAGAAAAATGCCCTTCAAGTCTGAGTATCAGCATGTGTAAGTTTTATGAGTTTTCAGTGGCCAAGGAAGATTTTGAGTTGAATTCCCAAACACTCAACTTCCTATCCCTCACTGTGTCTATAAGCCCCTTCCCACTCCTCCAAACGCTTTTTAAATTATCACCTCAAAATGAAGAAAACCCAAGGGCAACCCAACCTCCCACTGCCCCCATGGAAAGGAGAACTCCATGCAGGGAAGCACAATCCACTGTCAATTTAAACTGTGCCAAGAGAATAAATGACAGTATACCAGAGAACAATTCACTTTGAACAGAGTGATCTAGCACATGGAGGGAAGGAGAAGCTAATAATCTGCTCTGTTATAAATTTATAGGAATTAAAATGCCAAAAAACAAACAAGGTGCTACTATGCCCTGATTAAAGTTTTATTATTTAAGGGCTGAAAATATGGGGTTCACCTTGTGAGTACAACATAACATTGCAAATATTAGAACCCAACTCGCTTCTGGCTACTTGGGAGAAAACAATGAGACAATTTTAGATGGGAGAGGGAGCTTTTTGAAACAAGAAGTGAAAACAAAACTTACATCTGGCTGTGGAATGGCATACTGTCCTTGAATGGTATAGGCCTACAAAAGGAGGAAAACAGTTCCTATTAAAAAACCAATCACGGACAGCCACCCAGTGGGGGAAAAAGACAGATTTCAACTAGCCAGGAAGCCAGAGTTGAACTAGAGAATAGGGAGGCCAGGGATTGAGGCAGCAGACAGTACCTCACAAATACAATCAGACCCAAGTTGGCCGCTTTTGAACACTAAGATGACTACTTCAGGTAGCCTATCAAAGGAGCAAAGTTCTCTACAATCAATGGCAAAATACATACACGTATGTATGTGTGTTTCTTAATGAAAATGTAGGACTAAGCAATTTCTCAGCTGCCCAAGCCCTTTTCTTCTCTCTGCATACAAGTTAGCCTAGGAGGAAAGTGGTCTCTTCCTTCACCACCCCAATCCTTTTGCCAACTGTGATAATGTGAATGATTTGTACCTGCAAAACCTACATGGCATGTTTTGAAATACTTCCCTTTCCCTATCTTATTTTTCTATACATTTACCTAAAGAACTTAAGTGCACTGGAAGCTAGCCGGACACCTCACACTAGGGAGCTGACCAAAGGAACACAAAAATTCCTGTGCTCCAATTCCTGCCTTCTCCCACATTCCCTCCATAAAAGGCACTTGCAGCTCCCACTATGCCCTCCTCCCCCACACCATAACCTCCCAAAATGGGAGCTGGGTCTTCAGGGCAATGGGGTGGGGGCCAAGGAGGAAAGGAAAATAGGAAGGGAAGGAAGGAGTGGCTGTGTAGGATGTGAAACTTATCACATCACAGTGGCCAGAACCCCAAAAGTGCACCCAAGTGGGGAGGGAGGAAGGTGAAAATGGGGTGGAAGGAGTGGGAAAAGGGGAAAAGGGATTGAACCAAAAAAATAAAAACCAAAAAAGAAAAAGGGAAAAAAAAAAAAAAAAGAGTTGGTGTTACCATCTGGTGGGCTACGCGGCCTGTGTGAAATGAGGTGGGGGGGGTCAGTCCAGGTCCCAGTGGACAGGTGGTGTCCACAGCACAAAAATCACCAGCGCCACTGGCCCCCCGCGTGTTGGCAGTCTCGGCTGAGGCGGAAGGATTGAGTGAGCCTTGGAGACTGAACATCCCCTCTCACCTCTAGAGGTGGTCCCTCCAGGTCAGGGTTGAGGCACATGGACGGGGTGGTGTGGGGAAAGCTCGCACTGTCGCTGCCTGTGCTGTACCTGTCCTGTGGATAAATAGAGGATTTCAGTCTCCAGGGCTGTCAATCCGGCACCTTGTCACCAGCATGAAATTCACACAAAAAAAAGTTGTTTATTTTTTTCCTTTTTCCTTTAAAAAGGAGCTCACAACACAATTTGAAACGAGCTGCAATCAGTGAATTTTAAAAAAAAGAAAAAAAAAAAAAAGAAAAAAAAGTTACCTAGTGGCAGCTTTCACTGCACATTTGGGCTATTTTCAGTAAGAATGAAGGGGTGGGGCAACACAGCTGATGCCAGCTCCTCGTCAGTGTGGGATTAAGCTGAACCCCTAGCGAGCCCACTTTGCCACTAAGGAACAAAAGACACAGGTCCATCTGTGGACACTGCATGAACTGGTCCATTTAAAAAGGCCCATGGGAAGATCATGACAGGGCCACACATGGAAGAAGCTGCAAGCTTTTAGAGGGTGGTCAAATGAATAAAGGGGAGGGTGATAAGGGAAGTAAAGAGGTATGAAGGGAAAAGAGGGAAGGGAAAAGAGAAAAAGGGAAGGGAATTGAAGCCAGAACTGTAAACAGAGAACTGCTGCCACACAGTATGTAACTCTTTATAATCCCAAATAGGAGTGGAAGAATCCAGAAGAGCAGGAATCTGGAGTTCCTAGGGAAAAGGGAAAATTCCTAAGGCTAACCCTCCTTGCTAAACTGAGTTTTAACCTTTGGTTATACTACCAAACTGACTGAGAATTCGTATTTTGACCAAACCAGTATGCATATGTTTAGTGCTAAAAGCTAAGTACTAAATTTGTTGACTCAGTCCAACACTGTGACTTGGTTAACTTCCAGTGAAAACTCCCACAACTACATGAAAACTAAATTCTCAAAACTTTTTTCCATTTTATGGTAACTCAAAAGAACGTGAATGAGACAGACCTAACTTTATACTTTCCCTATGAATGGCTCCCAAGTCAAATGCAAGTAAGATCGAACTATTTGACTAAATGTGCTTGCAACAGGCAAACCCCAAATGGGTATAAAGGCACTTTGAGCAATGCACTTGTGCCTAGGAAGCTACCAAAATGAGGATCAGGATATTTTAAAACTGACCTACCTCAAATACTAACCAACAAAGCACAAAACTACACTGGTGCTAATCAAGTGCTTTTATCACAACCACCTAACTTTAAATAAACCACGTGCCAAGAATCAAGAGTTTAGGTGGGTGAGGAAGGAGTAAAGGCCAAGGGAGTGCTTTGGTACTCTCACTGTAGCACCAAAGGTCATAGCCCCACAGCCCCACATGCTTTACCCCTTCTATTCTTACACACCCCAGCTGATTTCAGTTATGCCATGTGGGTTCAAACCAGTGTTTATGAAGTTAAGAGCCTGGGGAATACCACAATGGAGTTTGGGAGTGAAGGGGTAGGAATAGGGGAGGTGAGGTGGGGGGAAGGGGAAGTTTGTAGGACACTCAAGTTCAGGACCCCTAATTTTGAGAGACCACCATCCAGAATGTTCTTCAGAGGTCCAACTCTTTGTTACTTTTATTCAGACCTCTAAAGATCACTCCACACAAATAAAAGCATGGATGGGGTGGGGGTAGGGACAGAAGTAGTGACACCAAGATAATTTAATAACCTTCTTCTAACCCACCACACACTGCCATCTATTGCCATTGAGTTGATTCTAACTCACAGCAACCCTACAGGACAAAGTAGACCTGTCCCATAGAGTTTTCCAGGCTTTAAATCTTTACAGAAGACTGCCACATCTTTCTCCCATGGAAGGGCTGGTGGATTTGAACCATCAACCTTCCAGTTAGCAGATGAACCAACCCACCATAAATTATCAAATATAAATTACCTCCTCTGAGTGCCTACAAAACTTCCATTGCCTGCTAGAAATTAAATAAGGGCTTGGCATTCATAGCTTTCTCTGGTACAAAAAGCAGGTCAAACTATGGCCAGAGCACAGGTTTCAGCAAGCATGCAGAGTGGTCTGGTGTGCTGCTGACAAAGTTGACATTTCAAGTGTAATCCTTGATCATTCTAGCCCACCAATAAGAATCTTCTTACCTGACCACCTGCAAAGATGACCGGAGAGCTGGACGGCTTGGGCCGGTACGGGATGGTCACGCCCTTCGGGGGGGACTGGGAGAGAGTCAGAGGGGAAAAAAACAAAAAGAGATAAGGTTTCAAAGCTGCTTCAGCTGTGTGGCTTAAGCTCACACAGGTCAGTTAAACAAAAAACTGTTTTAGTTCCATCCCCTCTAGAGCTAATCTTAAATATTCTTCTTATTCACGTTTAAGGCAGTAAGATAGTTTGTGGACTACACAGCTCACACAAAATCTCATTAAGGCAGATGCCCTTATAATAACTTTAGGCATTATCTGTTTTAAAGTAAATCCAATGAACATAAAAACTTCTACATGTACCTATTTACATTTTAGTAATTTTCACACTCATAAAAGACCCACAGGCTTGCCTGGGATGTTAAAGAAACTGTACCTAAATAGGTTCAAATCACTCCAGATTTTTCTGACCTTTACTTGAAATTTATTTTCTTTCTCACCAATGTAAGACCAACTCTGCAAACATTTCCCTTAATTTTGCTATTTTCAAGAAATAGCATTATGAGCACATTTCTCCAGTATATATAACTACCATTTTTAAACTCCTGCTTTGTGTGTGAGGGTGTGTAGTCAAACATTCTCTGCAACCAACAGGTTATAATCCTAGGGGCAAGTTAATTTTAGTCTTAGGAACCCAGATACACCTTTGGTCCGTTTGGGTCAACAAGTGAATCTTACCCTACCAACCTTCAAAGAATTGCTGTGAATTAAAAGATCACTGCTGCTTAGCAGTTTCTATTTTTGATCACAGACACATAAAAAGTCAAAGAGGGGGGAGGAAAATATGAACTCAGAGAACCTTTTCCCCACCACTACTGGAGGTGTCTAACAGCTTCACCTAATTCTAGCCTAACTAAATATAGATTAGTCCCTTTCCCCAGAATTAGCCTCCCCCCATTCTCAGCATGAGCCTGAGGGCTTACCTCCAACATGACCACGCAGATCTGTTTGACACACTCAATGATGGATTGCGGAATGCCAGCAATAGTGATGGCCCGCTCAGTTGAGTTGGGGAGCATATCCCCTGCCACCTGGACTTGAGCCCCTGTACTCTTTGGGGTAAAAAGAAATTAAAAATCAGACAAAAACGGCTCATGCTCTTCCCAATCTTTCCCAGCAGCAATTAAAGCTCTGTAGATACTTATCCCAACCCTATCTCCCCCTTTGATCCTTCCTTTTCATTATTCTCTGTTCCATACAAAACTATTTAATCAATTAAAAATAAGTTAGCCTCTGAGAGCCAAGAATAAGCCTAATTTTAACCTGATCTCAAGAAAAAGATCCTTCTGGACAATTTCCTGAGCTAATAAGAGTTCAGGGGTCTAACAACACCCCTATGTGTATCCTCAACCTTTTTTTCTCTGAATAAATTCTTCATAAAAGCTGTTCTATGTGCCAAGCTCAGAATATATCAACAGACAAAACTAAGATCCTTGCTCTCATGGCATATATAATAGGCTCCCAAAATACAAACTAGTTTCCCTTCAGGAGCTGTTCAAGCTTCATACCAACACCCAATCCAATAACCTCCACATACAACAAAAGCTCCCGTAATTCAACTTAACTTCAACAACCTCCAAGAGAGTCGGAATATCACTATACTCAAGTACGTCTCCCCAATTTCCTCGTGTGATTTTAGAAATCTGACCAATAAAAGTATTACGATTATCATATATTAAACTGTACTCTCTTTACATGTGAAAAATTACGCAGCCCATGTTGCCAAAGAATTATTAAAAAATTATTCTCAGTATGATCAAAGTCTATTCCTCTAGAATTTTTATTTTACTAAAAATCTTAATCTCATCAAATGTAAACTTAATCTAGCCATACTAAGAGGTAACAGAGGAAGCAACATTTAAAACAAAGAAAACCTGATGTTTCTAAAAGGAACAGAAAAGTTACCAACCTCTCTTATTTCCTTGATCTTGCAACCACCTTTCCCAATGAGAGAGCCACACTGACTAGCAGGGACCACCAGCCTCAGGGTGACTGGGGGTCTACTGGCCGCTGTACTATTGGTCATAGAGCTGCTGATATCCTATACAAGAAAGAAAATTAGACCAGAAGGATTTATGTTTAAGCAGATCCCTAGCAGCCCATACTGCCATGAAAGAACCACTGACTTGAGCTTAGAAGGGATATGTCATGATCCATCACTGTAATGTTCAAATACAGCCCCCTAAGCTATTTCTGATGATAAAAATTCTTCAAAATTATCATTTTCCTTCACCTTGAGGGAAGTTTTGTGTGTCTTGGTAGGAAGAAAAATTATTGTTTTGAAACTTACAGTTAACTGGGCAGAGGAAGACAATATTGAAATCAAAATTAAATACTAAGAGAAAGATGAAACAATGCAATACCAGAGTCAAGCCACCAGGTCTGTCCTCTGCTCTACACGTTAGAAGCTAGAAAGATTAAGTACTCTATCACTGCTTCGGTTTTTCGGTATTATTACCACTGAACAAGTACGAAATTAAGTTTTAGAGTACCTGCCCCAAATACATCTAACAAGTGATATATATGAAATTAGAAGACTGAACTGGCTCTAAATCCAGTCTTTGCCATTACAATACAATGCATCCAAAAAGCAGTTCATTTTACCTGTCTGAATATTAAGTTGTTTAAATACCACTCACTTCTCAGCCTAAATTCAAGAACAGGTTTCTTATTTGGTTAGAGAACAGATTTTTATAAATGAATTTTCAAGACCCAGCTCAGGACTAGCAGGGTCCTGCCAATCACAAGGAAACATTTCAGATCTTGGAAAAGATAAGATTTCTGCACCATTAAGTATCCAACCACCAACCAAGCAGCAGCCAGAAGCAGCTCTCATCAGTGTTCTATGTCAACTGCACAATTAGCTGCATTATTTCAGGAGGGGGAGGAGGCTGAGGACAAACCCCAGGATAATAGCTGTTTAGTCTCTAATGGTTGTTCAGTCTCTAAAGGTTGTTGGTGGGGAAAACTTTCTTCCGCTAAAAAACCATCCGATATGAACATTTTGGTTCTGTTAACCCAGAAAAAAATGAACCCTTCCTCCAAATATTGCTTGATTTTTAAAAGTAACTATAACAACAACAACAACAACAACATACCCAGGATTGGAAGATATCTGCATTTAGAATATATTAGTGTTCATTAGGGCCCCTAGAAAAATCACTCAACTGTGATTGTGATTTAGAGGGTAATAAAGTTGACCAAAGTAAGAAAGAATAACATACCTTAAAAATCATTGCTCAAGCATAAAAATATGCTTGCTTATGACTCAAATATTTTACCTTGAGTCTTTGGAAACAGTCAAGCAATCTGTTTTAATGATTCAAGTGACTTATTTTTAAACTACAAATGGGCAAATGTAAAGAGATGCTGAGGGGGAGTACCCCCCCCAAAAAAATAAACTCCAAACTCACTCCTGTCGAGTTGACTGAGTAGAGGACCCATTTATAGATTTTTATGATCCAGTCCATCCCTGAGTTTTCAAAGCCCTTGGAAAATGCAAAGTTAGAAGCACTTTAAAATGAAGAATGGGAGGAGGGGAAGAAATAACAAACCTCTTCCAGTTTGTCAATGATCATAGCAAAGGCTTTAAAGATGGCATTAGTGGGTCCAGCCAAAGTGATAATTCTCTCAGGACAATTCCCTTCTGAGATGTTGATACGTGCACCACTCTAGGTAAGACACAAAACCGAAAGAATGTAAATAGACAAAAGAATCTATGCAAATGTTAGATATGTATCTACACCAACCCCTGCCATCAAATTGAGTTGACTCAGATTCATAGTAGACTCTATAGGACAGAGTAGAACTATCCCAAAGGGTTTCCCAAGCATCTTTATGCAAGCAAACTGCCACATCTTTCTCTTGTGGAGCAGTTGGTGAATTAGAACTACTGATTTTTCAGTTAGCAGCCAAGTGCTTTAACCATTGTGCCACTAGAGCTCCTATAAGCAAATATAAACCAAACCTACAGCCAGTGAGGCATACTGACCCTTTAGGGAAGAGAATTACCGTATAGGGTTGCTAAGGTAGTATAGTGCCTAAGGCACTTGACTGCTAACCAGAAGGCTGGTGGTTCAAACCCACCAGCCACTCCTCGGAAGGAAGGTTGGGCAATCCCACTTCCATAGTGATACTGCCTCGGAAACCCAAGGAGGGGTCGCTATGAGTCGGGGCCGACTTGACGGCAAATAACAACAACAACAAGGCTGTAAATGTTTAAGGAAGCAGACTGCCTCCATTCTCCTATGGAGTGACTGGTGGGTTCAAACCACCAGTTTTGGTTAGCAGGTGAATGCTTTAACCATTATGCCCCAGAGTTCCCTTTAAGCTATATAGCCCCTCCTAAATAAAATGGGCAAAGAGCTGATTATATACATAATCCTGATACAAGGCCAAGTCACCATCACTTCTGCACCACCTATGTCTTCAAACATAGTCTATACCAGCTACCTTGTCCTAAGTCCTGAACAAACTGACACTGGCCAGAACCACATTTGACAGCATACTGTTTGTCATAACAATTAATTAAGCTGGAAAAATACCTGCATCTTCTACTGAGATTTTCCCTCTTCTAATTTGTCATTAACAGAATCATTCTTTTCTGAAGGTTTTTACTTCCCAAGGTAACAATTCCAAAACCCCCCAAAACTCACCTCTTCACGCATCTTCTTAACTGATTCTCCTTTCTGTAAGAGAAAAAGTAAAGTATGAACTTCAACAGCTATTTCAACCCAGATTGATTAAATAGTAATTAGAGATTAAGTGAAATTGTCTTACCTTTCCAATGATACTGCCAACTTCCTGCAATGGAGAAAACTAGTGTCAATACTGTTAATAAGAAGAAACTCAAGAGAACAGTTTGTTACCACGAAAAGGTAATCTTAACTGTCCAGCTAACCAACTGCTGTCTATGCATAATAAAAAGATTTTAAGATTTAGGAAAGGACTTATTCTTTGTTCAGAACTTAACAGTGAAGCTATCAAAAAATTCTAATGAATAATGATGTGAGTGATTAAATCCTATTAATGTATTTTTACAATACTAAATAATTCTGCCTCTCAAAGTACCCTAAATTGTTTGGGTAGGGGAAATCTTATAATTACAAATATAACAATCTCCAAAATACTCTTACCATCTAAATAAGAGATTACATCTTTGGCTCTAGCCTTTAGTTAAGCTATGTCTGCTCAGTGGAGCTTCCTAGTAAAGTCTGTCTGTTTTCCCATTACACTCTCATCTACTCATCTAGAGAAGAGTGCTCAAGCCAGACACCCCACAGTGCTAATCTGATGAGCTCCAAGATGCATGCCGTCTCTTCCTGGCCCCTCTCCTGGCAGTTACTATGACCCAATTTCCCAAGCAGCTGGTACATACCTTTCCATGCATAAGTAGCCGGATGGTGAGAGTGACATTTAATCCACCTTCAATCACACCGGTGTCCATGACGAGCAGTGTTCTGGGAAGATGGACTTTAGAGTGGTCAAGTCTTTGGTCACTGGTAGGGGGTGAAAGCCAAACACTGAAATGCAAATATGACCAAAATTAGAAAAAGAATCAAAAAATATTTCCCAAAGTCACCATTATTAATGTTTTCTAATCGATTCTTAACACCCCATCAAGACAGCATATTTGCATACATCTAGCACAACTGCATAATGACGTACAACAATTACAGCTCAGGTTCTGTTACTGAGCAAGGAAGGCTCCTTTCCAGCCTGCTTTCATTAGGTAGGGTTTCGCTGACTCTTAGGATGAGGAAGGTTCCTTCAATTGGCAACTGTTCTAAGGAACTGCTGAACGTGCACCAACTGTCCTTCAGCAGAAAAAGCCTCAATAGGATACAGAAACACCTGGAAATCATGAAGACAATCCTCAAACTAATCAACTACATACAGTGAGGGCAAATGACCTTTTGCTTCCCTGTTCTTAGTGGCAGCAATTTCTAGGTAAAGAAACTGAGATGTGTATCACAGATTTCAAAATGATGATAGATGGCATTAAATGATACACAAAGATTTTTAAGTCAACAATCCCACTGAAAAAGGTTACTACTTGAAATGCCTTCCATGCAGGTTGGGGTTCCACATTCCTTTCTGGGAAATTATTCAAACAATTCAAATTATTAACAACAGCCTGAATTCTTTATATTCCTGCTCCTATCCCACCTTGATATTTTCTCAGATTTGAGAAAACTGCCTTCCTTCTATGTTATTAACTTACTCAAGTGGGACTATTAAATCTTAAATCTTCTCCTAAAGAAACCTATTGCTAAAATTATTTTTGTTTTAAACAATAGCAATGACGTGCCTCATGCCTTCTCCACTATCTTCTACAACGTTCCTAACATTTTGGCATTGAGTATATGTTAAAAATAGATTCAGATTGTGGATACACATTTATCTTCAACACCTCCTCACGATCTAAAGGATGTCTACTAAATTCTGTCAAATTTCTCCACTGCCAGTTCCAGTATCCATCCTTTCAAAACTCAACGTCAATCATCTCTTATGCATGCTAGTTTGCCCCCCCACAAAACTAACCCCAATGCTGTCAAGTCAATTTCGATTTACAGCGACCCTACAGGACAGAGTGTAACTGCTCCATGGGGTTGCCAAGGCTGTAAATCTTTTAGGGAAGCAGACTGCCACATCTTTGCCCTATGGAGGGGCTGGTGGGTTCCAAAGGCGAACATCAACCTTTTAGTCCCCAGCCAAGTGCTTTAACCACTGTGCCACCAGGGCTCCTTTCACAAAACCATATACCTTTTAAACGCAGACGTTATACAAAGCTCATTCTCTGTAAGTATTTAAAAAATGTATGATAAAATTAAAAAGTGATTATGGCAAACTGCCCCCTGGCTACCTCAAAAATAATTATATAAAAGAAAGGCCTTGCATATCCAAAGCACTTCATTTCCCCATTTTCTGAATATGATTAATTGCTAATAAAATCCCAGAATTCAATACTTTCCTCTCAAAGAAAAATAAATAGTGCTTGGTGAGGGTGTTACGTCTATAAGAAAATTCTTTTTTAAAGGATATACTAAAAATCAGTTTAATTCCTTATCCCCACTCAAACGTAATTGGAAGCACTTTCCAAATACCACACAAATCCAAGTACGAAAGGGAAAGAAAGTGAAAACCTATTTGAGCCTGTTTCTTGAGGTAAGGTGCAAAGGTGCAATTCTAACTCCAAACCATCCAAGAAATCCCTGTCATATTTTTCTCCTGACTAGGTCAACATAAATGAACCCAATCCCAGCAATCCAGCTGTTAATCCTGCAGTCCATTACCCCTTCTATAAATAACTCGGTCTTGGTCTCTATAGGCAGGCATTTTGTAATTTCAAAATTCGTTACCCCGAGACAACGTCCTGAGTAATTCGATTACTGGGAGCCAGTCTACCCTTCCTTTAACTCGGCAGCCCCTTCCCCTCGGTCATTTAAGCATTTTCCACTCGGAAAAAAAAAAAAAGTGCCCCCCTCCCCCGGCTAGAAAAGAGGGGGAAAAAAATAAACGGTTCGGTCGTGGGGGGGCGCTGCGATTCAGGGGGAGGGGCCGGACTAGTTGCGCCTCCTCGTGTGGCTGCGCCAGCGCCTGACCCCCGCGGGGAGCCGCGCTCACCCGCCCGGACAGCAAGACGGGCATCGCCTCCCCCCACCCCCCTCAACCAACAAATCCACCGCCACCCCCCCTTCCGCGCGCGCGCCCTCCTCGACTCCTGCGCAGCCGCCACCGGGAGAAGGCGGGGGGAGGGGGGATTAGGCCTTGCGCGAGGCCTACTAGGCCGCGCTGAAGCCAGGGCCTTGAGTGAATGGCTGGCCAGGCAGAGTGAGGCAGTAGGCGCTAACGCGGGGCTACGCGAGGCCGGGGATCGTGACGAAGACTGGAGCCCACTGAGAAAGATAACAAGAGGCAAAAGAAGAGTTATACCCGGGGGAGGAGGGGTAATTTTTAAGCTTACCTGCAGGCGCGAGGCGACTGAGGGGGAAAAGGGGAGCGGGCGGGAAGGGGAAGGGCGGGAGG